AAAACCTATTATGATTTATAGGGACCATAGAAGTGGTGGAAGTTTATTACCAACATAAAATGAAAAAGTTATTAAATGCATACGAACTCTATGATTGGCCGCATATTGGACTCACTTTGGGACCAGAGTATATTTGAGTCTATCAACCGAATGAGTATGGTCCAAGAATAAAATGATATAGCTAGATAAGCCATAATTTGGCTATGTGCTAATAAATATTCATAATCGTGTATTTATTTATTTATGTATTTCACATGTATGTTGTCGTCATTCATAAAACAAAAATAAAACATGAAAATATATAACGATAAAAATAGGAAATGTTGTTTTGTATTGACTTCATATTATGTAAAAAAAAAATATACTTTAAAAAACTTCTATACTTCTCGATATGCAATGAGTCGAAGAAAATAAATGACATTAATAGAAAATCAGGAAAATGAACTAAAAAATGTGAAATTATGTTCTTAAAAATACACATGACCCCAAAAACCAGCGTAGTGTGTGTAAATCAGGACCAGTATATTTGAGTCAAATAGACGAATGAGTCTATTAATCTTGAGTCCAATAAGTAGTGACCACTAGTAGATCTGTATTATATAAATACCATAATATAGGTGGAAAATTTAAAAGTGGAAAATATTTCAATTGTATAATAATATGACTCGTATACGATCTAAGATGTATTGATCACAGAAGTTTGTTAGAACGTAATTATTTATTTTAAAACTCATAAACGGCTTTTTCCTTCGAACAGTCGAACGATTATTATACCTATCTCTACACATTACATCATATTAATATGATGATTTACAAAGCACGTCTAAATCTGATTTAAAAAATGTTTAGGTACACTGAAATAGGGAGGTACCATATTATTTAAAAATGCTTAAGATTTTTAATACAATTTAAGGAATGTCCTGTAGTGATACCAACTTTTTTTTTCAAATGGGAACAACTATATCCATGCATATTGTAAATCAGTAAGTTTTTTTGAAAATGTTGATGCATTTTTTTATTAAACAATAGATGAAAAATAGAGGAAAAATAGATGAAAAATAGATGAAAAATCAAAATTTAACTATGTAATTTCTTACTTTGTGCACGTACTAAAATTTATGATAATCTTACAATTTCTGAGTATAATAAATAGTAGATTTAATACCTAGTATAACACATATTTTAATAGTTTAATATTTTTGTTCAACTATTTTTAATTGATTATTGTCCTTGGAGAATATATTTTACAAACTCTGAAACTACTCGTTCAAATTTCGGTTGCGATACATCAAAAGTTTCCAAAAAATAATCTGCTTAACAATTTACAGTAAAAAATATAGTTCTCATTTGCAAGAAAACAAGTTTATATATCGTCACGGGACACTTCTTCAATGGTATTAGAAATCCGAATACTTGAAAATATGGTCCACATATATTATTGTGTATTATAAATTATAATACTGAAAAATTCCAAAAACCGAAATTCGAATAAGTGCACTATTTTAAATGGGGAGAAATGGGGGTGGACATGCTTGTCGAATTACCCTGTATATTTATAAGCGATTATAATATTATTGTATTATCATCACACAGTTGCAGCAATACAATAATGCGCAAGGTAACCAGGGTTTAAAAAACCCACGGGTTTTTTTAAAAAAACCCAACCCGGTTGGGTTTAAATGGGTTTTAATGGGTTTTAAAAATGTTCAAATGAATACTGTTTCCTGAATCTTTTTTATTAGGGAAGTTCCCTACAAACCTAACCTATAAAACATAAATGTACCATTTTAAATTGTTTTGAACAAGATATACATAACTGTATATCTTTAATCGTGGTTTTGACAAGTGTAAATATTATAATAATAATATAATAATGTATTATTATATAATATATTCCCATCTTCGTTTTACGGTTGGTCACTCTTGACTGTCGAAGTAAAATTAATTTATGAGTTTATAATTAATTAAGAAATGTAAAATTATAATATTTAATGTTTTTGCTTACATTTTTATTGTTACTAAAAAGTAATAAAAAATAAATATGCAGTTTGAAGTTTGTTATTTTTTCGTTTGTTGGTTTTTTTTACTGGGTTTTTTTTTCTGGGTTTTTTACTGGGTTTTTTTTGCTTGCCCCAACCCATTAAAACCCGGTGGTACTAACCCAGTACTTCAAACCCTGAAGGTAACACTATACATCGTAACTTAAAAGCATCGAACTCTATAGGAACGCTTGGCAGCGTCAATACACGCCTTTCCACTACCTATCTACACACACAGGTAACGGACAATTTCCTAACCAGCGGTGGTTCTAATGGTTTTTCATCCGGCCGGAAGTGCCACAAAACGTAATACGAAAGCATTTCGTGTACCTAAATGTATATAAACTGCGAAACGATACTATAAAACGGCGACCATATAATATGGATTAGTCGTGTAATATAAGTGTTTTACTGCATATACGAATACGATCGGTGCCAAACTGTAATATCGCAACAATAATATTATTATTGAAATGTATGTATTGACTTAGGACCTCCACCCGCACCTGCCCAGGATTAATAATATATATTATAACGACCAAATTCATTTTCCGTTTATGAACCGATCGCTGTTCGAACACATTATTATCATGTCCGGCCGGCGCCACTGCAGGTTCCGATAATATAATTATATTGTACATCGAGCAACTGATAAGTTATAGGATTTTCCGTAAAATAGGATATTATAATGCGCACACGGACGATAAGACTTCACATGGCATTAAGGCTTTGCTTGGACGGATGAGTGACGGGCACGTTCATCAATTTAAAAAAAATGCTTATAGGTACGAGACTATAGTGCTCGGATTTAAATGCTCTGAAAACAATTAAAATTTCTCTAAATAATAGCCTTTTCAATCCAATAATGCCCTTACAAATTATCCAAACTTTTTTGATAGACACTCAAGCGAGAGTTTAACTTTCGGAAATTGTAACACTTCTTTATCTTAACCTGTCACCACTCGCACGGGGTACACATATTCACCCCCAGACAAACTTTAAATATGCACGTATACAACTATAATAACATTAATAACCTTATAATAGTATTGTTATTCTATATATTTCAGTGCCTATTCTAATAACATATAATATTTTATAGTACACATTGAAGTTTTTATGTTTTTTTTTTTAATTTGCCGGTAAACTGTTGATATACTTATGATTGAAATTTGGTACTGATATAATATACCTAAAATCGATTTAAACTATATTTCTTGATATAATATTTTTAATTTACAAATTTACACTAGAATAAGATATTGATATCCACTGAAATTAATAAAACTACACGAAAATGCTAAAAAAAAAAAAAATGTAAAATAAAAGTTTTATCTTTGAAGTAGATAATATATCAGTTATTACATTAAATTAATTACGTATACTTGCAATGCATTCTTCTAGAGCAGTGGTTCTTAACGGGGGCGCTACCGCCCCCTTGGGGGCATTTCGGTCTCTATGGGGGGCGATAGTTTTGAAGGGGGCATTGAGGGGGCGGTGAGCTTTTTCAAACTAAGAGATTAAAAATAATACAATTTATTAATATTATATAACAACACTACAAATAATTGAACGTGAAATCAGAATAGTTGTAATTGCGTACGATACAACGACATACGGAATGTTATCTAATCGCATTTTACGTATCGGAAACGTCTTGTTTATAAAAAATTTATTTTTAAATTTTCAACCATAACTGGACTATTGTATACTGTACCTTGCAAGTTTAAAAAAGATTCAGCTTTTGACGAAACAAAGAAATCTGTTGTACATTTGTAACAAAGGTGATCTACGTTTAGCTTTGACCAATATCGAACCAGACTTCGCCACGTTAGCAGCTACTCATCAGGCTCAGGGCAGTCATTGACAGGTATAATTTTTATATTTTATAATTTTTTTTTTCATAGTTAAGTAATTCTTTTTGTTAAGTGGTAAAAAATATAACTTTTATTATCTAAAAATAAGAGTTTTTACTTTAATTAATAATGTTATACTGTAATATACTGATGAATAAATAAATAAATATATATATATTTATCTTTATTAGAAGAAATTTTGATTTTGAGGGGGGGGCGTTAGCAGTAAGTTATTACGATAAAGGGGGCGCTGAACTAAAAAAGGTTAAGAACCACTGTTCTAGAGGGTCCAAAAAATAATGTACTTTGCATTAATATGTGCCCTATATAGTCAGAATACGAATTTTTCGTTTAAAATATTTTCATATTATATTATTGACAGTATAATAATTATTGTTTCGAGCGCACCAAATATGACAATGTGATTCCGCTTTCGCCGAAACTGAATAATAATAAAATAATAACCAACTGCGGTGCACCACGTCACACAAACATTGTTATTCGTAAATTGCATAGTACGTCGATTAAATCGTTATTGTGCAGCGGACACCGACTCATCGATGTGGTTTCAGTCGTATTTTGTGACAATGAACTTTAATTAACTCTCATACGATACCGGTACAAAATGGATGGTATATATTATAATACATAGTATACCATGGTATATATACATCATATACAGTTATTGTTCCATGTTTAATTAGTTCCGAGGAAATTCCATCGTTCTATGTGTTTTTGTGTGTGCCGTTTATAATATAATTGCCTATTTACAACCCATGCAAACCTATATACGATATTATCACCGCAGACCACAGATCGGAAGAGCTACACAGATGTGAACACATCGACCTGGTCGAGGCCAATCATAACATTATGTAAAAAAACGTAGAACAGTATAGGTAATTACTAATTTATTAATATACGAAATCGATTTCGTTGGAAAGAATTATTAAGATAAGATAATAATATATACTATCTCCTGATTTAACTTGTATATTTGTTGTTTTTTTGGGGGTGAAGTTATTGGTTTAAAGGGTTGTCGGGGACACTATAATATGGATGAGTGCAGGTGCTATACGGGATGTTTGTAGACGCTTACCTGTAGCTATGGCAGTGGCGTGAGCTGTTGCTGGTGCTGGAGCTGCTGATGCTGCTGGTGCTGTTGCTGTTGAAGCAACAAGTGCGCGAGATCGTGTTGCTGTTGCTGTTGTTGCTGGTGATGGTTGTGGTGCAGCTGATTGAGAAGGGCCAACGCGGCGGCAGCGGCCTTAGTGGCCGAGTGATGGCCTGCCATGTGGTTCGGATGCTGAGGCGGCGGCGACGGTTGCAGCGGTTGCGCCGGCATCGCGTTTAGATGATGCGGGTGGTGGTGAGGGTGATGTGGGTGGTGCGGATGGTGTGGGTGTGGGTGATGCGGGTGGCGCGGATGCAACCCGATGAAAGCGATGGGCGCAGCGCCCGGTGTGGCCGGGGCCATCGCGGTAGGCGCCATCGCGGCCAGGGCCAACATGTTCTGCGACGGGGCCAGCTGTTGGGGCAAGCCCCAGGGCTGCACGGCCGCGGCGATCCAGTGCGGGTGGGCCACCTGGTGGTGCATGACAGGCGGCGGCTGTACGACGGTCGGGGCGAACAGGCCGCTAACGGGCCAGACGAGTCGCGGTGGCGGTGCGGGGGACGGTGGCGGCTGTCGGTTCAGCACGGCGGCGGCTGCGGCTGCTGACGTGCACGACTGCTGGTGCGGCTGTCCAGCTGGCTGATTGCTCGGCCCGGCCACTGTTCGCACCACGACCCGAACCCGGTCCCGTTATTGTGGCGATGGGTGGTCGGGTGTGGCCCGTCGGTCGGTCAGTAGACGGTCAGTTAGTGAAGTAGTCTATCGGCCGGTCAGCTGCAGTCTAAAACAATATAATATTATAAAATTCAACATCATCATGGTTGATCAATAATATTATATAATATTTCAATGGGATAAATTATGATTTCACTTATAAAATAATTAACAATTATTATTATTTCCCTCAAAATAATGATAAGATAATGGTGGTTCATACAGGTAGTACTAAAATGGCGTAAGTGAATAATAATAATGCAGCCCATGCAGATATTTTATACAATATATTGTATATGCATTGCACATATTATTATAATATCGAGCCCATGTCAGAAATCACTTTTTTTTATCTGTGATAATTTTAATGCGATTTTAAATCCATACAGAGTGCACTCTCCTAGATGATCAGTGTAAAAAATACTAGTAATTTTTGAAATATTTTTGTGGTATAGTTTGCAAGAAGTCGAAGCTCAGTTAAAACCATTTTATGAACTTGTAGCTAGAACATAAAAAAATATAACACGATTACAATGTAAAACGATAGGAAAACAACGGAATTTATATTTTTAAAGATTTCACAAGAAAAATTGATATCTATAAATTGATATAACTTTGATATCAACATGTATACAAGTCATTTTAAATATCCGAACCAAATGGATATGAATATAAGATGATACGAAGAATATCCGAAAATCATAACACTGAAGGTACTAGGACGTAAATAACTAATAAGTATTCACTTATCTACATAATATTAGAATTGATAGAGAAAGACCAAGACGTAATATACTAATATGTGGCACATGAAAGTAATACAATTTTGGAGAACTGATATAGTTACCAGAATAAAGAAAAATGCTAATTTCACACCAGGAAGGGGTACAGACCTCTGTGGAATTTGTGGTGTATTTAAAAAATAATGTTACACTTTTATTATAATTATTGGATATCATTGAATTAGTCTTCAACTATGTTATTTGGTAGTACCTACCTATATAGTATATATACATTGAATAGGTAATATATTTTTATTTCAATGATGATAAATATGTTTTTATATTATCCATATCTGCAAGTGGCGAGGAGGGGCTAAAAAGACTTCTTAAGACGACATCTGACACAATTCTGATTTTTGATGCCAAGTAATTTAAACGTACATATTATATTTCGATGTGCTGTACGTAACTTGTCCAATTTATTTAAATAGATCGATTGGGTTGTAAAACATAATATTTTTCCTTATGATGCTTATAGCTTTTTCAATTTAATTCGAGGATATAATATTATAGTCTCCCAGCAAATGAGTATGCTCTCCGGTTGAGGGCGGTCTAAAGTCATTACAATATTATTATAATATACAACCACTAAGAGGTACCATGGAGGATTCGAGTTATAATAATGTAAAAGGAGGTTAAAAAAATATAGAAAATACATTCGTCTCATCGCTCAAAATCTAAAACGGCATTGTGACAACGAATATATTTTGGTTTACCAGAAACAAAAAAAAATAGGTAGGTACCTATAGAAAGGTACATAACAATTGTCTTTAAGTTTTTCATAATACGGGGTGAACAATTTAACGTAAAATACCTATTCTTTAATTCAGAAAACACTAACGTTTTAGAAAATATTTCACTTACATAATTTAAAATCGTTAAAAAAAAACTTTTTTTATATAATTGTAACCATTTTTATAAGTGCTTAAATCTTATCTCGGTAAATTACAAAAATATTACAAAAATTATAGCCACAGCTCGCATTGAGATAAAACCACCATTCGTGAAATGTTAAAGAACAGTTGCGGACGTTTTAAGTCTTAGTCAGTGGGTAGATAGATTGAAAAGAGTCCTGCGGGTACAGGAATACAGGATAAGTTATGGGATATAGGTGGTTGCAGGATGAGTATAAATTGACAAATCGCAATGTGAAACTCGTAGAGAGCACTCGCTGTATTACAGCTGTATGAAATATTATGAGCTCTATATAATGACAATGATATTACAGATAAATAATATTTAGGGGTAGTATACTCGTATAATATTGTGATTTTATTCATCTCCGTAAGTCGAGACCGCTGTCCCAATAAAATATTTTTATCGATATATCATATGTTAAGCAGGCAGTGCTGCAGGACGAGGTCTGTAGGCTATAATCATCAATAAATAAATAATAATATATGACGAGAATAAATTGTGTTTTGGGTTCTATACTGCAGGTTGTGTTTATTTATTTTTTGTCGATTGAATTAAAGAGTATTTTGAATCGCAATGAATTATTATAATATTTTGTAATACTACGACAGCCAAATTATATTTATAAATTTAATTAAGTTTAACTAGTTTTACAAAATGTGTTTATTTTGATAAGGCAATTATAATAAATTTAAAATTATTGGCCCATATTATAAGATTGTAATTTAAAACGTTATAATTACCGTAACTACCGCGTAACATGCATAATCTAATATTCAATTATAATATTATATGGTTTTGAAAGATTCAATAAAAAATTATATATATATTAAGACAATTATATTACCTACTCAATAAAATTAAAATTGACGAAAAAAATTGTAACAATTATTGACGACAGTTTTAATGAATCAAACCCGTACACATTTCTCATCTACCTATATAACCACGTGAAGAGAGTTCTGAATGTATATCAGAAATATTTCGCCCTACGAATAACTTCGCGCAACCATATAGTAATAATAATAAATAAATTTTAGTCTGAAGCAGTGGCGTATCTCTGCATCTATGGTCCGCAGACCAGAGTGTAGGGCTGTATAATGATATTATGTGTATTATATATATATTGTCGATTACAAGCGTCAAACGAGATTTTTCTCGCATACTATTGTACAGTTTACATATTCTTATGTTATGTTTGGCAGACGTTTATTTATATAAAATACGCGTGTACCCCGAACACACTATTATAATCGTGTAATGTCGTCGTCGTAGAATAATAATATGTCATCTGACTCGATAAACGAAATTATATGTAAAAACACCGTCAGCCAGTGTACGATGAATTTTTGACACTCGGATGATATGCGAATGCCGTAATACCAATACATTTTATGAGAGATGCAAACGTCAAGTTTAACACCTCAACAATACTCGTGCGCATAGGCACAATTTCAACTTTTGACTTTGGGGGAGGGGGGCTGAATATATTTATAATTTATTATATAAATTATAATAATATAATAATTATATATAATTATTTATATTTATAATTTATTTATAAGTAGACCATTGCAATATAGCATTTTAAAATTGTATGTCATAGGTTTTTGTTTTGGGGGGCTACTGCAAAGCTTGGGGAGGACTTAGCCCCCCCCCAATTTGTGGCACACACAAATAGTGGTACAACCGGTACAGGGGTGCGTCGATCGACTCCCCAGTAAAGTGCGTGGTGGATGGCTAGGGAGTGGTAAATTTTCTGTTGAATTATATTTTAATAACTACTGCTGATAAACCGACAATTTCGGAAGGTTCCCATATTTTGAATTAAATAATAAACATAAGTAAAAATCATTGAATTAGGTTACGTTTTGTGTGAAACGGCTGACTATTACTGAAACCAAAGTTTATATTTGATTTTTTTACGTACAACGCCGTACAGGAACAGCTATATAATTGATATATCAACTAAAGTATATATGGATAAAATCAAAGCCTTAAAACGGATGAACCTTATATGCACATTCACAGTTTCGACTGATCTCCATAACCTTTTTTTTAATTGGTTCAGTAAGATAAGTGGTATCATAGGCTAAATTGTTTACTGTTCTGCACTAAATGTTGAATACAGTTGACACACGAAAAACTATGGTTTTTTTATTTATATATTTTCGCCATTAGTTACAGAAAATAAAATTGTTACTATTATATTATGATTGGATATTATAATTTTAGAATTGTATTTTATATTCGGTCAAAACAACCCAAATAACTGCAGTGGTAAACATCTGTGCAGTTTATAACGGAGTTTAAGAAGGGGTCAATCCACGGAAATTTAATTTGTCACGGGCAACACCGTGCTGGATCAGCTAGTATTGAATATTAATTGAATATTCAATTTTTTTTTGAAATTTTGATTACTTTGCGATATCGAAACAAACGCATTTCGGATACTGTTACATATTTTATTTCATAGACATCAACGAGTTACGGGCAAGGCATGTGGTCTGGAAAACGCTATTTCTGGCCGACCCGACCTGAACCTCGACCGGCGCCTACATATTGTCACACTAGCAACTGCTACAGCTCCTTTCATCCTCATCTCATCTTCTCGCACCCCCAAAGAACACTTCCTCATATTCATCATCAATAACGTTATTACTTTTCCTTGCAGCTGTCGTTGGGTCAGAAGTCATCATCAGTACAACAGTCAGTATATATATATTCAAGAGGACATCAACTAAATTTCCTGATGATCTTACCATGATTTAGTACCTACCTGCAAATTTTGTATAAGAAATTATTATTTTTATATTATAAATATCTTGTAAGCTGAAAATAAAGATATTAACTTTAGTGATCATACTTTAGACAATATTTTACTTTGGTGGTCGTCTAATGATTCAGTGTCATTAAATAATAAAAATGTGTTTAAACTTCAAAACTCATTTAGATAGGTTGTTGATGATTATAGTTTTCAAATAATCTAAAATTATCTCCATAATATATCTAAATATTTTGGCATAATCTATTAAAATCAGTAACAACCAAAGCCATCGTTGGAAAAATGAG